GAAGGAAAAATTTTAAGGAAAAGATTACGATCCTGACAAAGCTATTAACGTTGCAACAGTGATAAAATGTGGAAGCCTGAAAGGTGGAAGCATTTTGGAGATAAATCGTTAAAAGGCAGGTCGCACCTGGGTATTTCGATATCGAGTGAGTTTTTATTATAAAGGTGGAGATTATATAGTATTTTATAAATATAGTATAATTTTGCAATTGTAATTGCTAGTCTATAATAATAAAGGCAGGATCGTCCTAAAAAAAAAAAAAAAAAAAAATACTATGAGTTAATTGCTAAGTGTGACGAGCATTATGTGTAACGGGCGTGATCGGACGGGATCCAGGTCGTGTTTCCCTGTACACCGGAGGAGGTGGTCGAGTAAGTAAATCACATGATCTGGACTACCCAAAACAATAACAGATAAAACGCGTATGATATCATCATAACAGAATTAACGGTTTGACTTGACTGTGCCGCAATAATTTCAAAAATGGAAAATGTCACTCAAAGGTTTGTTTTTGCATTGTTATTAATGCTTTTAGTAAAGTTTTCACTAATTGTTCTACGAAAAAACTAGTGGTAAAATTGAAGCAAATTCGACTTATAGCACTCCAATACGTTCACGTCAAGTAGGCATTTCGGAAACAACCCCAAAGAAAAAAAAGCCTGTAAATAAAGACTTGCCCGTACCTCCAGATCGAACTCCAACTTCTGCATTACGAAGAGGAATACTCAAGCCAATTTCAAACGTATCAAGTAATAAAACTCCGTCTAATATACCTTCAGTTACCTTTAATGAGCCGAAGTCACAAAAACGCGATCAAAACTCGGGATTGATTAAAGTTTGTTTAAAAATTTCATTTTTGAATATAAAAGTTTACTAAATTAATGTGTAATAGTTAACATTTTTGACAAAATTTTATAAGGCATATTTACGAATTAGACCCATAAATTCGGAAAATGTAATAAAACCTTATATTCAAATTATAAACGACACGGAAGTTGTAATGATTCCTCCAAAGGTTAGGTTTTGAATATTATGATTTCAAAGCATCAATGCATAGATATAAAATGCCGAATGTTTACAAATCAATCTTAAATCATTAGGATTCTCATGCCTTTAAAACATGCAATAAAGGCCCAGAAAAATATATGTTTACAAAAGTTTTTGATGAAAGAACATCACAAAAACGTTTTTTTTTGGAAACGACGCTCCCGCTAGTAAAAGGTGTACTAGATGGAACCAATGGATTAGTGTTCGCTTATGGTGTAACAAATAGCGGTAAAACATATTCAATTCAAGGTACTCGAAATGAAGAAGGTATATTACCTCGAACATTAGATACAATTTTTAATAGTATCAAAAACTTAGAAAGTGAGGCGCAGGTAATTACAATGCAATAAAATTAATTATATATTATGTTTTATTGATTTGTGTTATTTCTTTTTATATTAGATCAAACCGATCAGATACAATGAAATAGAAAATTACAATGGAAACGAAACTATTGTTCCTCCAATTATTATATCAAAATCGCATATGGAGAATCCATTTATTTTATCGGATTCGGTTGGTATCTGTATTACCAAAAAAGAATTAGGAATTTTTTTTAATAAACATGAACTAATCACAATTGTTAAATAATAGAACTCATCGTCAAACAAGAGTAACAGTGCCGAGATAGAAGACTCTGATGCTCTTGATCTAAAGCAAAAGCTTGATAACATAGGTAATTATACGACTTTTGAAACTAATTAGTTATTTTGATATAACAGCACATATTCGAATATTTTGCAGCTGTAGATGTCGATAAACAATTTAGGTATGCAGTGTGGGTTTCGTACGTCGAAATTTATAACGAAAAAATATACGATCTTTTGGAAGAACCTGGAAGCGCAAAGCAGCCGGAGAGCAAACGAAAAGCATTGATCGTAAAAAATGATAAACGAACTGGAAATAAGTATCTTAGTGACATTAAAGAAGTTCGAATACGTAATGTGGAAGTAAGTTTATGTTTTATTATTTAAAATAATTTTTATTAATTAAATTAAATACGTTGATTTAACTAACCTTTTTAGGAAGGATATTCTGTACTTAAGCAAGGCATGAAAAATCGACAAATTTTTTCGACGCTGGCCAATGAGACTTCTAGTCGAAGCCATTGTATATTCATGATAAAAATAATAAAGATACCATGTGACAAAGATACCGCCACGGAGGTAAATTCAATTAAAGTTACATTTATCACAAGATGACATGATGTGTAAATTATCGAAATTATTTTTATAAAGTTGTCATCATCCTTTGTCGTAACGAGTCGGTTATCAATAGTTGACCTTGCGGGTTCAGAACGGACAAAACATGTGCAAACAACAGGTAAGATATTAGAATGGAAATTTTAATGTTAAATCTGGTGACATTTTATTTATTATATATATATGCTGCATTTACACATTTATCTATTTATTTATTTTTGAATTAGGTACAAGACTGAAAGAGGCCGGAAGCATAAATCGTTCACTAATGGTTTTAGGACAGTGTCTCGAAATATTACGAGCGAATCAGTCACGACAAAAGGGTCAAAAAGTTAGTTTTTTTTTCTTTACCAAATCATAAATGACGTTATATTTGTATGTTCAATATAATTCATAATTATATCCTGATTATATCGTGTTTTTTTTTAAAGCATATTTTGGTTCCTTACCGTCATAGCAAATTAACGGAACTATTTCAGAGTTCATTTGCTGATGGTGAATCGGTATGTATAAGAATACGACATTTGAAAACATTTAAACTACATTTTAACACTTTAATTATTGCCTTAGGTTATGATTGTTAATATTAATCCAGTCGATACAGGCTTTGATGAGAATATGCAAGTTATGAAATTTTCAGCTGTGGCAAAAGATGTTTGTACCTCGTTGAAAAATATTTCAAGCCACTATGGATATAGAGGTACATTGCTTTTTACACCAGTTAAGGTTGGAAAAGGTAAGAAGACAGTGACAGTAATCGATTTTGACATAATGAAATTTAACACTTTATGTCTATTCTGCCCTAGAAAATAAAACATGTGAGAATAGCGATTCAAGGTCTGAAGAAAATTATGATGCGTTTATTAACATGCTTTTTACTCATATAGAAGACCTTCGTGAAAAAGTATTTGGTTTTGAACAATACTGTATACTGTTTTTGCTGCACATAGTCTACGTAATTAAAAGATGATCATTGTTCGTATTATATAGTGGATAAGTGCCGAGACGCGCTGTGGTAATTTGAAACTTGAAATCAGAGAACAAGTCTCAGATGAGCTAGCTGTTCACATGTCAAATATTGGAAAGAAGTACATGGACCAGGCAACAGAGTCTATGGAAAGACAAATGGAAATTATTCGTCGGGATACGCCTTCCACATTACATAGTGGTACGCAATCTTATTTGATTAGGGTATTTAATATTTGTTAATATGTAATTATTTTTAGGTGTTTCTTATTACCGGTTCTCCAGTAATTTAGTTGATAAGGTAATGTATAATTAATATTATTCGATTATTTAATACGATGTTATCATTAATAATGATAATAATACTGTATATACATGATTCATATGCCTATATATTTCACTTTAAAGCTACAAAATGAAATAGTGGAATTAGAGAATGAAGTCGACAATCTGGAAAATAAATTAAAGATCTGTGCTTCTTTGCTTAATGATAAAGACGCGCTTATTGAAAAACTTCAGTTTGAAAACAAAGAATTGGAAAGACAGGTTAGTGTCCTTGAATTTACAGCATATAAGTCTATATAAATATATATCGATTTTAAGATTTATTATAATTTAATTAAGGTTCTTTATATTGCGCAAAAACTTGACTATGTTGATATTGAAACTGAAGACGATTCCAACTTAACGGATCAAGAATTGAATACAGTATGTTAGAATGTTTACATTAACTATTATTACTTAGCACTATAGTTTAGCTATTTATTACCAATACAGGTGAACATTAATGAACCTTCAGAAGAAACTAGTTTAAAGGAAGTTGAAAATTATAATTATATTTCCCCGACAAAGCAAGAATGTGATGATCGAGTAGGAATATCTTTATTTGAAGATAATGATCGGTTATGTAGGCTAATATTTATAAATTTATACAGTAACAAGTAATTTCGTGTATTTAGTTATGTACTTTAAACATAGATGATATTATTGAAGAATGTGATGAAGAAGTGAAGAGTAACGTCAGTGACCTTTCAATGGCTATCTATGAACCAGCACTACATGAAGAACAATTTGCTGACGTTCAAATAGATGCTGTTATTGGGAGAAGTGAGGAGTATAAAGTCGAGCAAAATAAATCAATGGCTTTAGTTCTCTACCGGCCTGTGCTAACTATAACGGATATCGATATGGATTCAAATATTAGCACGCGATCGTCATTTGACACGGAATGTCGAGCAGTCGATAGTCAAAAGCGTACACTGGATGAAATTAATTTTCAAAAAGGAGAGGATCCACCTAGAAAGAAAAGGTAAATTAATAGAAAAAAATTTTTTCAGAATATGATTTAATATTAAACATGTATTAAATTTTTTTTTCTATAAAGAAAATTGCGAAATAAGAAGACTTATTTCGAAACAGAAATCGAAGAAAATCTTAACAAGGTAGGCATATATCATTTATTTACATATTTTCAATATTATAACTGAAAATTGGCTTCAATTTGTATGTCAGGTGTCGCCACCTAAGATGAAGTTGGTATCGAATAGAAAGACATTAAGACGATATTAAATTTTTTTAAATGTAATCTATTCTATATCTATAATAAACCAAAAGTTCATAAGTAACTTATATACAACGAATTCTCATTAAGGGTAGGGTGTATGTAGATCAATTTTCATATCAGATATGATCTACGTGGTATATTGAATTTTTACATAGTAAACTAGCTATTTTTTTTTTTTCTAGTATCCACGGGACGTGGATATTTTGAACTTCGTATTATACTGTTTTACCCATTTAATTGTTGATCAACAGCATTACGAAAAATTTTTTATGCGGTTACCAATTTTTAATCGGTTTTAGCATTTGAAAAATAAAACCAGTTCCAAACTCTAGTCGAGTTTTCGAAGATATGAATACAGAGGGACCTCTCTAAATGCACTCCCTCGGGACCATAGTAAAAAATTTCAAAAATGTGCACTTAGAGAGGGTGTGCATTTATAGAGAGCAAAATATATAA